TTTCACGACATTATTTTATGGTGCTACAAGCCGGGAAGCATTTTTAGCAACACTATAGCAAGCATTCAACCGGCAAAGGAAAGGTTAGCCAATCTTCTAAGAAGTAAAATTTATACAGTTCACGTTTGCGGAGCCAAATACGACACTGAAATAATAGGAAGAATTCTATATACTAAGGAAAAAAAAATACTCGAAAACAAACTCCAAAGAATTCAATTGTGCGTCAGTACACTGGAATCTTCAAATGACAAGTGGATAAATTATACTCAACAAATCACCACATCAAAAAGAAGGGAGGATGAAGAGGAAAAATATGAAATAGTCACAAAAGGTAACCAAGGACTATTCCGAATTCTGCGTGAAGGAAAGGAAGCGATAATAAAGCTAAAAATGCATAAGAACGAAACTGACCAGAAATTAATGCGACTCTTAAAAGAGTTGATAAATGAAAAGGAGAAATCAACTCCCCGTCGAACCTTACCGACAATCTTCCTCGTTTATTTCTCCTACTTTTAATGATAACCCCAGACAATGGCACCAATCCTGGAGTTGTTTCAACGCAGCAAAGTCCATTCACAAGCAATTCCAGAAATTCAAAAATCGAATTACATATATTCATATCTCAAAAGAAACGCTTTACAAGCAATATATGCATCCAAAATAGCACCTGAAAATTATAAAAACGACTGTTCAATGACAAATATGTGAACTACTTCACGGTAATGAACTCCAGTTCATCAATAGCAATGAAAAGGAATAGATTGGAATTGTCAAAAATATCGGGCGAATGCTACAACAATTAGAAGCTTTAGGAGAAAGCTAGAACACTCAAGTATCGAATCTTTGACCAATAGTAAATTACCATTATGGATATTAAATAAGGTATATAATCAAAAGAAGCTACATATGCCTTGACCAGTCTTAAAATTAAGAAACTTCCTATCAAATTTGATCAACGTGAATATGCAGGTTAGGAATCGCTAATGTTTATTCACTCTTGCTGACAGTAAACCTACAGTTGTAAACCTACAGTTAGAAAAGGAATATTCAACCTACAATTCAACACCCTCGAATCGAATGAAGATGGTAAAAAAAACTTTATTTTTATGTAAAGAGATAGAAGTCTTCAATCTACTGCAATTGTTGGAGGTGGTAACATTAACGAACTTTGACAGAATGATGTCATTTATCTTTCAAATATGTTAATGCAAACTTTACTCATAAGAATTTCCCAAGGCAAATGATGACGATCAAAATCACGAAACAATTATAAATCAACTACCATTGAGTATAATTGGAGTTTAAAGATTGTGTTTAAAGGATTAATTACTACGTAAATTTATTTATTTATTACCAATTTCCAATTTCAAATTTTCTCTATTTATTAATTACCAATTTCAATTGTTCTCTATCAACGTTTTGTCCTATTACTTTGCTAACAAAGAACTTGGATTATATTTATGTCACCTCATGCATTTACATTTACATCCAAAGCAATCTCCCTGAGATCAAACACCTCTCCCAATATTATTAATTAAACAATCAAAACCTTTCACGTCAACATACAAGAATTGGAAGATTTACTTGATTGTAGAATAAGCACTTCAACTGATGTAGTAACGCTGTTACGTTGGCCGTGGGATCAAGCAAGTTGGCGTCAGTTACGCTTAGTTAATGAAAAAGTAGTAAGATTATTGATTTTTCATTAACACGAACAATACCAATAGAAGTAATTCGTGTTGCTGCAAGATATTCTTGTAGAAAAAGAAAGGATTAGCATGTATTTTTCAGTTATATTAAGATAACAAAAAAGTATGAAGAATGAATCTGAGGAATCTAAAATTAGTTAAATGAATCATAACATTATTAGAAATTATTTGCAATTTTATTGATTAATTTCTGCATAAATTTATTATTTTAGTTAAGGTTTCACAATATTAGAATTCGCAAAATTCACTTAGAAAGATGTTACTTAATGATTTGATGCGTAGGGAAAGGACAAAGTGCCATGAAATATGGCAGACGATGTTGGACCAAACTTTATTTTATTGAGATAAAGCTTGTCATTGATCAAAGTTGTTGAACAATTTTATAAAGTTTGAGGAAGTAGTTTTTGGAGGCAATGAATGCCTGATTGCTATCTAGGAAGCCTAACCCAGACAAAGATACAGCTCCTCATATAGTATGCATCAACTTAGAACAAGATGCATAATTTGTAGTGCCGCTAAGTAAATCAACTATAAAAACTAGCCTTCTCAATAATCAGAAAGCTAACAAACCGGGAATGAGTTCAGCTAAACTGTATAAGTCGCAGTTAGTAAGAGCTAACAAACAGAGAGGTCAATTAAATAAGGAGCTGATAATTTGAGTGAGCGATTAAATTGGAGCAAATTCCAACATGTATTCTTTGTTCACAAACTGTAGCAGTGTGAGCTCAGCTGTATTTAAGATAAATATTGGATAAATAATTTCTTATATGGCACTGGAACATTTGTCCAAGGAATGTTCAGATAAGACAGTCTTTAGATTTATAGGTTTGATACAATTTTATTTGTACATATTCCTTTTTCTAACACAAAGTGTCATTAGTTAAGTAATCAGAACCGACAAAAAAATGAGGTTATTGTTTAATAAAGTTTATGTCTTTGAAAATAGAAGAAAGATAACAATTCTTTGTGAGAAATTTGATGGTAGCTTTATAAATTTATTTATAACATTAGATATTTATTAGTTGCTCTGACAAATGGTAATTCTGCTTCAGTATACTTTTGCCGCTAACTTCGAATTCTGGAACCTTAAAAAAATAAAAATATGCTTAGATAATGAATTATTTTGTGACTTGTCACCCAAATTGTAATTAAATAAGTGTTGCAATGCTGTATATAATAAGTCATATTTAATCCTTTTATGTATCACAAATCTTTTAACGGAACTCTCATCTTTTTTATCATTGCTACCCTATTTTAATAGTTGAGATACCAAATACATGCAAATGTCACCGATCTGATGACCAATCGTATTCAATTTTTATACTAATCAAATCTTTTGCATAGTTTTTGCTGTTTACTTGCACATTTATTTCCATTTTCTATTGAATCTTGTGTCAAATTAAATATTTATTGAAACCACTCCTACTTACAATATGTAAATGTGTTTTTCTTTGTATATATGAATAAAATTATTGCTTCAGACAGGAGATGTAATTCCTTTTAATTTAACCATTATTTCCTGTTCGTTTTACTTTAACCATCACTTGTTGTCCCTTTTTTTATCTTAAAAATCACACATAGTCCTTCTTTATTCTTGCTAATAAATATTTTCAAGTATTTCTGTGTTGTTTGACACTGCTGTCAACTGCATCTGAACGAATTCCTCCAGGAGCAAAGAATAAGAAAAAAAAAATCATCCTTCACCAAATATTTGACTTGCCAAACTTTAAAAAAAAGAAAATTCACAACTTCAATCTCTAATTATAATAAATTTAATTCCAAATGCTAAGGTCTATTTGAAATACTGGTTTCCTAGAACTGATGTGAATTTCCGAGATATATCACACGGATTCCAATTGCGCTTCTGCGAAGCGTTTATTTCCTACAACTTTCATGAAACATAAAAATCAATATGCAAATTAAGTGAGATATAATTCAGTCTTTTTTTGTATGGAATAATAATAATAAGTTAACTTGACAAAACGAAAAAAAATGCAGTTTGTAAAAGTACAAAAAAGTGCATTCTTTAATAATGGTGGAAATTACTACTGTTGGATGGTAGAGTTAACAGAAATTATGCAATAAGTACTGGAAAAAAAAAAAAAAAACTAAAATATATCCGAAATAATTCTATATTACAAGACAGTAATTTGTAGTTTAAAAATTTTCTCATTTATATATTCCTTAAACAAATATAAAACTGCTTCAATTTTATATTTCAAGTGAGAAAACACTTGTGTAGGGTTGATTTTCCAGTTTACATCTTAGTTGTATAGAATGTTGCAATCTATTAATGAAAAATATGTGCACTGCTTAATATGTTGCAAATTATTTTTAATTTTATTGTTAAGACCTTCCAGTCACGCAGTCAAGTTTTCTCGATTGTTAAAAATTATGAACTCTTTTTGTCTAATTTATTCTTTTTGTTATCAATTAAATCTACTTACAATGTTGAAATTTTGTGGAGCACTTTTAATATGACAGTATAAGCAACTAACGACTGTCACTCGATAGTGGCAGTAGCTCTTTAAATCGTGCGCTTTATTGTAAGTCAATGTTCACTATGTAAAGAGTTGAATTGTCTTCGCTCAGTTTTTTTCGATTTTGATATCTTTCAATTCTTTGGATTTGGTTCATTCAGTTAATTTTACTTTCATGAATGATAGCATAATAACAGAAGTAACATTAATGGGGCGGAAAAAGAATGACAGTAGTAGATGGGAGGTACGACAAAGCGAAATTTAATGGACTGTTGATACGATATTGTAAAAGAACAATAAAGCTTGTCAACATTATGATAAGAACACCTACTAAAAAATTTTCCTGACATGTCAAAATGATATATTTCTTGGGAAAAAAAAACTTCAAAGAATTTATATAACAAGTTATTTAGTACGTAAATCATTTTCTTGCTAATCCACAGTCTAATATATTAAACGACTTAAAGGCAACTACGAACAACAAATAATTCAATTTTATTGAAAAATGGTCGATGATGCTAAACTGAATAACCTTTGTGATTATCTTAATGTCCATCAATATCATAATTCACTAAAAAATTTGAATTAAATGAAATCTGATATAGGTCATTATGTTTATTCAAATTTTATTTAGCATGCAAACAGAACCCACTACAATGAAAAAAATTGAAAACACTTCAATATGCTGTTTGGCGTTTGACAAAATATAAAAATTTTGGAATTTATAAAATCGTATAAAATTCATTCAAATTTTGCTGGATATCAGTTATATGCATTCGTATTCTCTTTTCAAATTTAGCTATTTATTTGATTATGATTGTTCAAAAAATTTGGTATCACCGCGTTGATATGGTACCGATGGGGTTACTCTATCAAATTTGGGACGACGTATATCCAACAAATAATTCAAATTTCTTGCTTCCACAACCAAACAAAATAAATGTTGCACCATGTATCGATAATTTATATCATGTAAGATCCAAGTGCCGCTTGAATCACAAACAAGCTCACCCATATTACCATTTCCATGATGAGCTTTTTCAACAATTATTTGTGGCACAGAAATTTCATTTTTATCAATATATGGCAGCACAAATAAGCCGGTTTTGCTAAAATTATATTATTTCCTAATTTACATTCTATACCACAAATAATCTATTTAATTCATTAAATCATTTCTTCTCTTTCCTCTTAATCAATTTACATTTTCTATTACCGTTTTTTTTTTTTTTCTGGAACAAAGCAAAATAAGAAGTTCAAAAGCTAGACGCACTGTATTATTAAATCATTTTAGTAATTAAATCTTTGTTTGTTTATAACTTACTTAGCATTCAAATCGGTGCCAGTAACAGCTACATACACTGCAACTTCTTTAATGTTTGTCATATTTCGTTGACAATAAACTGTTGCAGTTAAACATCGGCGGTGATAATGATATACCTTATATTTGCCACAGGTAAGACCACGTTGTAATGCTGGACAATTCTGAAGCACTGTTTCCGGATTCAGTTCAGTACAATTCCGTTGACATAAAGGATGCTCATCTGCAATGGATGAAAAAAAAAATTAACTTTTTACTTCATGTTCGTATATTTTAACTATTTATAGATGCAAATGAAATGTCATAGCAAATTTCAACTTCCCATTAATCATTAGAAATGTTTCTTAGACTCTTTCATAACCTTTGAATCGCTAAAGACCAATTACTTTCTACATAATTCTCCAAGTTACGCACGATCTGATGAAAAATAAACAAATATTTCCTTGTTGTTCAATGCTTTGATATGAACGTAGCAACTGATTGTCCTTCAACTGCCATTCATCCAGGTTTTTGCCAAATAATACAAATTGATCTGATAGAATTGATTCTTTTAGCAAAATAATTAATAGGCCACTTAGATTCAGGAAGCGCAGCATAACGTACAACTTTTTCTAGAATTTTCTTAATGCAAGAATTGGAATTATTAATATTGAATTGCCAGCAGCATCAATAATAGTATTTATTAAACACAGAAAAAAAGGGGAATAAATAATTCTAAAAAATTTGAAATTCGTTTCTAACATTCTGAACTTCACTCCTACACTGTGAAACTGAATTTGTCAAATTGAATTATTCGATGCAAGAAACTAGACCAAAATGAGAGATAAGTATGGATGGACTTCATGTGACAATACTTTCAAATGCAGTGAGAGAAGCGGTTATTTAATAACCTCCATAAAATCAATGACCCTTGACCTTTCTAAAGACTTCATTTTGCAATAAATTGCAATGATAGTAGAAGAGATTACCATTTCAAGCAAAGGAAAATCAATGATTCAACTTTTACATCCTTCTATTTTTTAGTTTAATTCTTTCTGATAATAACATAAGTAATACTATTTCTCACTGACCCAATACTATCCATCAAATAGTTTAATAGTCATAGTTATTCAAGGTTGATTTAAAAGTTCATGATATAAATTTTACATTTATCAAAGTACAAAGACAAAATTTAACTATTTGATAACATTATTATTGATAAGGTCCACAAAAATGGTAACAGTTGTTACTTCAGAAACTATTTTTTTCTCTCCTTTGATATTCAAATTGATATAGAAAATTCATTTTGCTTCATGCTAGCATTCAGTTCTCTCTAGGAGATAACTGCTAAAAGTGATAAAAATGCATAATCTCTTTAAACCAAAGGTAGATAACAGGAAAGTACGAAATTTGAGTATTGCTCAAATATAGGATATGCAATTACTTCTACTTCAGAGTTCTTGTCATTTTAAAATTTCTCAATGATAAGCATAGCTTTATCAAAAGTAAAATGTTTTACTTGAAATCGTACAATAATTGTTCTTAGATGAGGCGTTAAAAAAATTCAACTCTTTTCTAAGTAATAATACCTATATTTCCTATATCTAAACATAATCATCATCATTCCTTACCAAACTTTCATTTGGAACATTTGAATATAATTATGGAAATTTATGGCTTCACTTAAAACCAGCAAATGTAAGCCATATGGATTTGAAATTTTATACAAATTATATCCTCAAATATTTTATTCTATATTAATTTTTGTAGACTATTTGATTACTTATAATAACAAATTATATTGTTCAATATATTTCACTATAATTTTTGCATTTTGCAAGTTGAAGATGATAAAATCTAATCTCTGGCGTTCATATTTTTAGAATGATCATCTAAAACACATTGTAAATATTAAGATTATTTATGATCACCTATCTGATTTCTCTAAATGTGAAATTCTTCCATTTGTTTACGTGTTTCGGCTCTAATAATATCTCGCGTAATTTCCTTCTGATAATACCAGGTTATATAAAGGAAAGATTTCTTTAATTTTGTAAAAAATTTGCAAATATTCGAAAAAATCTATTAGTAAAGAAAAACATTTTATAAAATTGAAAATATGGTGAAATAAAATAATATAAACAAATATAGCCTTTCCAGAAGAATCAGGCTTTATATGTAAAACTTGGCTCATCATAAATAATCTTAATATTTACAATGAGTTTTAGACGATTATTCTAAGCAGAAATCAGAAAATTACTTAGCAGAATATATTTAGAAGCTTTAAATAAATTGGTGCCTTGAAAAAGTGAATAAAAGTTATTAATTTTGTTTACTGCAATTAAAAACAGCGATAGCCAATTAGCACTAAATTAATGCATTTTTTATTCAACATCACATTTCAAAAATAGACAATTCGCATGGATATAATCAAATGATATTATCACTGTTCAATCGTTCCTCAAACATCCATATCTGTTATAACCTTTGTCTTTTTTTCGGTGTTTCCTCACATTGCATAGAATCATCCGAGTTTTCGACAATTGTTTCTCTGTTTTTTCCGGTGAAACGACCAATCCATAGTACAATCCCGTTATTATCAATGATTGCATAAAGGAAGGGATGATTAGCACGAAATGCTTCTCCTTTATCCATTACCATATCATTTCTTACTGGCATAATTGAATTTTTGTTATTGATTCCTTTCTCATCAATCTGAACTTTTCTATTATTTGTTTATAGCATTTTTTATGCCCGATAATAAATTATCGATCAATTAGATAACATATCCAAGCCTCTTTTTTGCTAATAATCTCTTTTATGGAAGGCAATTGGATTTATCAATCCGAGGAATTAGCTGAAGTTAGGCTTTGATTAAAGTTTGTTTTGTCTAAAACGTATTTAAATTAGGGCAAAATCAAAACTTTGATATAAGCATGATTTCTGATATCATCCATTGTAAATAATCGCTGCTCAAAAATGCCGGAAAAATCATTCGATTCGTAGAACATTGATTGCACTCCCATCCTCTTCAATCCATTTAACAAACATATTTGATTTTCGTACTTAAATTTTGGAATTGTAACCTAAAAGAAAGCTGAAATCCTTTTTATGAATTGAAACATTCAGTATTGGAAAATAAAGTCAGAGACTAGAAATCTAAATGGCTACTAAAATTTCGATTTTGATTATAATCTGAAAATTTCAACCATTTGTCTTGTATAAAACCGCAAAATCTGTTACTGAGAAGAGAAAAAATTAAGCAAAGTATAGTAAAGGAACATACGGTAATTTCGTGAGATGAGTCAAGTGCACTAATATAACTGAATAGTTCCTCTCCCGTAAGTTTATCTTCAAACTTTGCTAGATCAAAGGTTTTTTTGGGCAAAATAATTAACATTTGCATTTCGGAATCTTTGAACGGTAGCGACACCGCTTGCATGTGTTGGTTTTCGTAGTAAGGAAATTTGGCCGTTCTTTCCATCATTGGTATCTGAAATTTGAAGTCTGTTATAGTCCCTGAAACTTCACGTGATGTCAAAGCACTAATTCTTTCACTATTGTATAACACAACAATCATAAGTTCACTTAGCCTTATCAAATCATATCTATTCCTGCCGGATAATAAAGCAAATAAACATTGTTTCACAGTACATCAGTTACACGTAGCCGTGCTGAATAGAACGGTGACATATGATTGAGTGGAAGAAATTCGTACATCCAATCATCAGTGAAATGTATTCCATTAAATAAATTTAATGACTGAGTGGAAACCATGCTAGCGATATTACGGGCTCCATAATTCATACTTTTCTTTACCCATTTAATAAATATCTGCAATATATTAAATATGTCTTAATTTTCATTAAGAAAAGCACTAAACAAGTTTTAAAAAATTTTAGTTATTGATTCATTTATATGTTGAAAAATCTGAAATTCAAAAAAAAGTATCAGAAAAATATTTTTTTCTAAATAGGTTTTTTTTTTTTTTTTTTTAAAATCATTAAAGATGTAGTAGTACTTCTCTTATACTCTTCACTTGCAGAGGTGAAGCGAAATTGATTTGTGTCAACTCATAAGGATATCGTCGACGAGTAATATCTTTAAAATCAGACTTCAAAGAATTTTGTTGCACAAAAAATTTGGTTAAATAGTACAAAGAATAATCATTTCGCTTTGATTGCTTGTGAATATTTTTGATAGCGCACTCTATGTAAGCTCCAAATGCATTTTTTGGTTGATCTGAAACCTTTATAGCAGAATTCTCATTAAGTTGTTAAGTTTAAAAGTGAAATTTTGAATTTCAATTCTCTTTTATCACAAGTGAATCATTGCATTGAAATTTGTCAAAGTTTCTCCATTATGATTTGACATCGTCTCAAACATTCATAAGCATTTACATTTTGAAGAGTTTTTCAAATTTACGTTACCTGCTGAAAGCACCCTCCCCATCTCACGCTCAGTTTCACCTCTGGCTCCTTCATATAATAATGACATTACGGAAACGATTGCAAATGGTGATAATAGCGAGGCTTCATCAGCTTGCGAAGAATAGCGCAATAGTTCCAATGCGAAATTCATTTGCGCCTTAGTTATCAGTAGCCTATAGCATTTGATTAGCTTTCAGACATCCCATAATAAATAAATTCAATAATTTATGCTTACCATAAAAAAATTTTCTTCCATTGTTTAGATTACATAATTAGGCTCCACTGAATATTCTCACGACATTTGCCACTTACTTGTTTGAATCATCATTGTTTTCAGAACAATGGTTTAAAGTACTGTTAGCACGGGAACTACCACCGAGTACTGCCACCACAATAAATATTACTTCGAAAAGCTTCATGAGGATAATTGCGAATTGCCAATATTGAATAACCTATTGGAAATCGGTTATTTTTGAATATAGGAATTTTTTTTCCGAAACATTGAAAATAAGTGACCCATCTTACGGTATATAAATTATTTCCAAGGTGTTCGCTCTTCCGGTTTCTTTAAAAAAAAAAAAAGAATATGGATAAGAAAGGAGAGAAGAAGAAACTTTTAAATTAAAGTAACTTCCAGTCTGACATTTATTCAACAACTGACTTAAATCTTTTCAGTTCTATTTTTGAACCGTATTAACCAGTTTAAGGCTATGTGTTGCACATTTATGGAATGAAATGATACACTGAAACGGCACAATTTTTAATTGAGTAAAAGTAAATGCTGTCATCTGATTATCAAAAATCAATTGCAAATCTGCAACTTAAAAAATAAATTTAATTTTTGATCGTCATTTGATAAAAACAAAAATATGAAAATCAAAAATAAATGAATGCATCAAAGCATTGTGTCTGTTTTGTTTATCAAAAAAAGTATGAGTTTAATAATTGCTTTTGAAATTAAAATGTAACACCAGCAAACCTTTGAAGTTCATTAAGCTTATAACATCATAGTAATATTTTCTTAACATGCAATAATTTAATCTCTACACTGATAATTCAAGAAATTAGTGTGGACGTTTTAAAGTTGTGCAGTCAAATTTTCAACTTGAAATATCGTTATGATTAAATTGTGACGAATTTATAGAAAAAAAACTGGATTATATATGATCAATATAAATTCAAAATTTTACTGATACTTTTGATTTCAAATGGTTTCATGATCGCTCGATGTTCAATACTAAACATAGCTGACTTTGGTTTACAGATAATCTCTGCGAGATAAAAAAAGACTTTGGCGAAATAATTTCTCCTCCAATATAATAACTTTTTATTGCAATCCTTTCATATGACATGATTATACGAAAAAGCAAATATTTTATTGAGATGGAAACACATTTTTCAAATCTCTTTTACGGTAATTTTTGATTTCAATGACAAATGCTAATTAAGTTTACCAAAACTGTCAAAATCCAAAATTTTTTGCTACCAAACATTGGAAAGAAAAAAATATGTGACAATGCGACAACGAAATGAAAGATGTGACAACGATTAATTTTGTTCGATTATTATTTCATGTAAGATAAGATACTATAATCAGTACTACAGCATTTGATTGGATCATGTAATTAATACTTACATTAGAGATGCTGAAATTAGCTTTTTCAGAATATTAGCATCTTTTGCATTTAAATGAGATTTGAACACTTTGGAGGTAGTAATAATGCAGCAATTAATAAACATTGCAACCTTAATTAAAATATGCAAAACGATCTGCCAAAATGCATTTCAATAAGTAACAGTCATACATGCACTGCGGTTAACTGTGCAGTTTTGAAAGAATCAGAAGGAACTGATTCATTATAGGTGAACTTACCTATTCTTTTCTTGCTTTATTAACTTCTAATTCCGTAATTTGTGGCAAATTCGTTTAAGTTTTGAGAGATTTTCTCGCAAATAAGCATTCAAGTCTTTCGATTTCAGGATTCAAAGATTAAATTGATGCAGCAGTGAATAATACGGATTTGCATTTGCAACAGAAACAGAAACAATAGAGTTTATGGAAGCGGAAACAGAAATTGTTTTTGTTTATTTTTCCTTCATATTGAGGATTAATTCATCAAATATAACCTACTAATTCATAAATGAGATCACATATTAGATCATTTTGCAAATTGGATCTAATTCTAATTCATAAAACTTTTAAATTGTAAAGCAAATTAATACACATTTAAACCACTTTACGAATGCAGCTATATCGTAATAATTACTAGGCGAAAGCCAAAAAATCATGTATTATACTGTCACATTTAATTAAATGTAGAATTAATTAGAGTATAATCAAATGAAACATTGCATCCATTACCAATATTTTATCAAATAATTCAAACGGAATTATGCAGCACTTCACAGATTCATATTTCATCAGTTATGAAATTTCAAGCAAACTATTCATCAGTTTCCATTTATGCAAAAATCATATCATCTCCACCATTCAAAATTTTAAATTTTGTTGCTTCTTTCGGCCTAAATTGAAATTCATTCTCAGAACAACACAGGTAATAGTGATGAATGTATGTCGGGTTGAAACTACTATTTGCTAAAATTGAAGTATTTCAATTTACTCCGTCTATACACTGAAGATTTGCGACTTTACTAAATGTACCAAATTACGTGCTCTTCTAGTAATTCACAACAGCTAAAGTAAATTGCATAAACAGTGGATACAGTCAATTAGAGAAAAATTACGTCGAGTTTGATGTGAACTTAAACTTCATTTGTTTTTGTTAGTTCCGGAAAAATGAGTTTTTAATAATGGAATTAGCAAATTACTGGCAATGACGTCCTGGATCATTATTTGTTGAAAGTCAAATATCGTAGCTGGAGGTCAAAGGTAAAGAATTGTGGTCAGGAAGTCTCCTAAGCATCATAAGCATTGCCAATATTTCTTGGATGGAATCCTTCACCTCTATTTTACATTTAATTATTTTAAACAAAATATGAATTTCGTTTATAGTTGTAATATGTGGTGTTTATTTCTGCTTATATCAGTCTCACGATTTTAATTAATATTATCAGCCAGTTTCGCTATGTTATTTTAATCAGTATTATCAATTGCAATCCCGTAATCATTGTGCAATCTGTTCTCGCCAAGCTGACGCTACTTCCGGAGGTACTTTCTGCTTGCTTATCTGAATAAAATTATAAAATATTATTTCAATAAATCACTTTTTTATTTCGTAAGATTGAACTGCAACATTGGTCTAAGAAATTAGCTAGACTTCATCTTGCTTATTCAATGAAAACGACGCATAAGTATTTTCCGTAAAAGGAAGATAAGTCGTACTCGTACCAATTTGATCAGTTGTAAATAATTGTTTCAAAGTTGATTCCAGTTGCACTTGTTTTGTCAATACTTTTCGATTCCATATTTTCAAATACGATTTCATAACTTTCACTCTTTCCGTGAATGGTTTTCGACTCGTCACTTCTGTGGTTGATACTATTCCCTTATTTATATTCATTTGAGCTGAAAACGCTCATAATCGATGAATTCTTTGCAAACTGCAAAATTTGTAATTCTTAGAAAAATTTTCTGAAAGTGAGAAATTTTAATTTATTGTGAATTCTTATCGGTTTTACGAGCAACTTGTGAGAAGAAAAGTTCTTCAAAAAATTAAATTAAAATGAAAACTAACTCCCAAATGCGACAAAATATTGATGGAAATTATTTTGTAGTACATCGCTTTTAATGTAAACAGCGTAACGTCCGCTTGACTGTACGTAGTGTACCGGAACGGTCGGTAGCAAAAATTTGAATGTGAAATATGTGCAATCGTAGGGAGTTTGCAGTTCGTATATGTCATCTGCGGCGAACACACCGTCTATCTCTAAGTCATTTACTGCATTCTTATCCATGAATACCTGGAAATTCCTTTGTTTGAATCTTTTGAAACGAAGTTTTTTGAGAACCATCGAAAAATGATGATTTCAGGGGAGAATTATGATAAATTAGGACATATGAAGCACTCACTGTAAATACCCCAGTCAACCAGCCAATCTGCCAGGATAATCCGTTCTGTTTTTTCTCTCAAAAAGGATAGAAAAGGATGGAAACGGAAAGAACCTTTGCGGTAGTTAAAAGGAAGAATGCTTCATTACATCAGAGAAGCATTACATCAAGTGAGATTTTCAATTTTATGATTTCTTGCATGAATTATTATTCTAATAAACTGTTAATGAAATTTTACGTAATGTTATTATTATTTTAGCTTACGATAATTAAATTCCTGTAGTGATGAACAGCAAAATGACTTCTTCCAGTAACATATTGTGCTGCAATTGGAATAAAATTGGTGTAGCTACCATTGTAATTAGAGATACGGAAAGTTAAATTTGAATATAATCATTTCTTAATCATTCCACGTAACAAAAATAGGTGTCTGAATGGTTGTGCATGATAACTTGTAAAGCTGTCATGAATAGTTACAAAAAATAAGAAAATAAATTATTTGCAAAACAAAGTATTCATTCAGAAAGTAATTGGACTAAGACCAATAAGTTAGCGTAAGGTAAAATCAAACAGAAATGAATTACCTGCAATGAAACGTTGTGAAAAAGTCAAAAGCTCTCCGAGATAGTTGAAAATAATATTACATATTTGCTGGTTCAAATGCAAACTGTCCACTGTCAAATTGCTTGTTGATTTTCGACTTTTGCCTTTGAAAAGTATCTGCTTGATACGTTAAATAGTTGCTATCTGATAATACTATGATGGAGAGTCTTTTATTCAAAAAATTGTCAACTGAATCTCATTTGATGTATTATGGAATGACCCATAATTTTAGGAAAATAAATTAGTTAATATTAATAAAAATTTCAAAGATATTAACTGCTCGCTTGAAGGAACATTGGACAGTATTGAATCACATGCAAATGACATTTCTAATATGAATTGCTGAAGGAAATTACTGATATTAGTGTAACTAATGCCATTTTGCACTGAAGCAATTGCCATTTCGCAGCCAAAATCTGCGCGGCTATTAATGCTTAAAGTATTATTAGCGAATAGTAATCGTTGTATAATTATAATCACTTGAAATGGATTATCACCCAATAAATTCAGCGACAGTTCTTTGGCAAATCCATAATATGCAAAAATAGAAGAATTTTTTTCTGCCTGGAATTTTGTTGAAAAAAAAAAAATTCAATTTTAGTACCAAAATTATTAAAAATACTTGAAATTAATTAGTCTTAGCTTGAAATATACACTAAGTTATGCCTTAAAGAGTACTTATGTTCATGAACCATTTATCAAGTGATAACTCTAATCAGCTATTAAATTTGTCAGCAAGAAGTGATCATTAAAAATTAGTTCGCAAAAAAATTCTGTCCAAGTTAGTGTCAGTTTAATTTCACATTCTTCAAATTGACCCAAATCGATGCAATAACACAGAGGAAAGAATACCTTAGCTTCAATTTCATGAAACCTTTCCTTCCCATCAAATTTTGCTACGATTGATATTTTTGTCGTTTGATTAGAGGGTAAGAAATATATAGTTATATGGCTATTATTGGCAATTGATTTGGGTAACAAAAATGAATACTTCTGGTCAGCCATTCTTAGAGGTAACACTGAAACGATTCTCCAATAAAACTTTATTCTTCTGAGTATTCTTTTTTCTTTTAACAAACCAAAAAATAAGGGAAGAAATTCCGCAGTTTTATTAAATATCAAATTATATTACGCTGAAGAAATTAGCATAATATTACCTACAAAACTTTCACCAATTTCGCCACCAAAGAAACAGCTCTGTGTGACAGATACTGGCATAGAAGATTTTATTGCAATTCGAGAATCGTGGTTACTCTTATAAATAGTATCACTGTACGCAGCATAGAGCTTTGTAACCATTTTTTCATTTATTTCGAGCTGTAAATAAAAGCTTTGCTAAGCTCATCAACGAACAAAAATTATTAATTTTGCTAATTGAACAGCTTAATTATATTTAATTGAAAAGAAAGTGCAAATAATAAAATATATTTCTCAATAAATTATAAAAACAAGGAAAGAAAAATGAAAAATAGAAATTTCACAATAGTTAAAGTCATTATTCACCTTACGGTGTGTGTAAGGTATAATGTTGTATGTCTTTTCAATTAAATTTCCTTTGATTTCACTGAGGTAACTAATGTTAACTTCCGCCACCATATATGGATGTGGGTTGAGAATTTCGAGTGTTAGAACGGTGGCTGAATCGTCATTATTCTCTTCGATTGTAATCCACGGAAATAAAGTCATAAACGAGGTGCCAAAAATATCATAACGGTGTGAGTGAAAATTATTTTCAACGATCCATTTTGAAGTTTCCATCGCATAAGCTACAACTGTTAACAATTTAAAACTTCCGAGTTATTGCTGGCAAACTATCTAATTAATCTAATATTCACTTTTCAAGTTATTAATTAGATTACATGTGAATAGCATAAACTTGAAATGCTGTTTATAACTCAATTTCCTAATTCTAATTGTACGAGTACTGTCATATTTTAATAATCAAAAAACGATTACCCAACAGTAAAGAAAAGTCAGAAAAAGCTAACCGTTGAAAGCTGGCGCATAGCCATACATTTTTTCACTTCCACCGAAAATAAAAAGCAAATAGCGACCTTTTGATTCCAAACAATGCAATCCACGTGCTAACTTTTTTGTATTAATTTTACGCATAGTAATATAACGGAATGAATTCTCGAAATGTTGGATATATTCCACGTCCAATGCTTTCCCATCTAATAGGAAAGTATCCGTCTGACGTGGCACATCGTAGAGCTGAAATAGCGGGTCATCCTATCAATCAAATGCTATAATGTTTGAATTGAAATTTTAACGATCAGCTCATTACTTTCATCTTTCCTAATCAATCAATAAAACTTGGATCAAAGCAACTTCTTTACCTTCGAAAGCTGGTCAATTATTTTTGGTATATACTTTTTTATTGTGTCGCACACTACGTTATTAAATTTAATATTTTATCGCCTTTCCACTTCTCTTCTGTCATCTTTTTGACAAAGGGCTAAATTTTAAAAGTAATCAAACTGTGCCGCTTGTGCTCCAGTAACTCAGTCACATTGTTATTATTCATTAATTTGTTTAATATCATTTTCGCCTGTTGGAATTGATATAAACTGCAGAAATACTAACAAATAAGCGTTCACTTTCATTTTCAAAAATAAAACACATTCGACCGGTTAGATACTGCGAATAAGCCGGTATAATATCCAGAAATGAACTGATGTTTTGGTAGGTTTCAAAACGAAGTAACTGGAAGAGAGTATTGCTGAAAGATAAAATAGTCAAACTGCTTCACTTTCTAAGTCCATACTTTCATTTCACTGCACAGATAAAAATCTTTGTCATTTTCTAATTAAGATCAAATATTTATTATTAACCATTTATCAGTGAAATAGCTTATCTTTGGAAATTTCGAAATAAAAAAGTGTCATTGCTTTTTTCCACAGATCTTAAAATATAATTATTTTTTTCTCAAATTTTATTAAACTGAATGATTTTAATACTATTTAGAAGTATCTTTAAAGATTTCGAATAAATTTCATATAGCGATATAATATCGGTATAACATTTGTCATTTTTCTTGAAATTTCAAGTTCTCGTGGATTCGAAGAAATCTCGATTAGGTAGTCTCTCTCTCTCTCTCTCTCTCTTTCTCTCTCTATCGATTAGGCAGCACTTAGTAATACTGTGATGAAGAGAAAGATGAAATGCCAAATAATAGACTAAAGTATAACAAATGTAAAAGTAAGCCTTGAAGCATAGCCAACGATTGCATCATTGGCTCGATGACCCCATTCCATGGCAACGTCATCGGAGATCACGTCGGGTTTGACGTCAATTAGCTTTGTGCTATTGGGACGAAATGTAATAACGGTGAAAGACTGACAATTTTGCATTGGTGCTGCTAAGAAGATTTCAGTTCGGTAATCCTTTGAAGAATCCAAAGGAGCAAAATGAGCGTTAAAATCATCTCGAAGTGCTATTTGAGAATAAGCTAGAACAACGCACAATATGATATGAAAAGGTAATTCAAAACTTTTTCAATCACAGTTCAATCAGAAAACTTCCGTCTATTAATGTCACAGATATTTTTTAATACATAATAAGTACGCTGTTTCAAAATTAATTCTAAGTTACGTGAAAATATTTTGCCATTCACGATTAATTTGTATTTATTGAGTTCATCGTTTCAAACTGATTTCAAATTAGAGAATGGAAGCAGTGTAAAATACCTTCATCTGGCAGTGGCATAAGCATCGTACAAGCAAAACTTTCGTAAGGGATTTGTTTCAAATGTGTTCGCATCGATAACAAAATCAGAAATGGCGATGCGCCCGATATGTACATTGTAGAGGGATCGTTGATCGAACTGTTATAAGCATAAATCATCGATCCGCGATAAAACTAAACATAAAATGGAAAATATGAAGAAAGTAATAGACTTCAAAGCTTGAAATAGATGAAATTAGAAGGTTCATGATTAAATTCATAATTAATGCAACCATCCATTTTCCTGCTAATTACTCGAATCTTCTAGGCATGGCCTCTGACATACTACATTTCACCTTACTATGTTTCATTTTAGACTGCAAATATATTTCCATAACAGATATGTGTCATTTTTTAATGAAAATCTGAATAAAAAATCAACCAATTAATTTCTTTTTTTATCACAAAGTCTACTCTTACACGTGAAATCGTACTGATCCGTTGCAAACCTTTCCTTGTGACAGATGTAATGCTTATATGTGAATCAGTAAATGTCGGTATGAAATATGCTGTGAATATACCGCTGAATAAAGATGGCGCAATTGAGAACGAATACCGATTTGCAGCCATTGTTACCGGTAAAACTGAAAAAAGAGACGATTAAAGGTATCGCAGTGATAATCGAATTAAATTCTCTCTTAGAGCATAAAACTATGATCTTTCATTGAATTACTTCATTTGAACATTATTAGGAGAGAAGTCATTTTGATAACTGAAATTAGTAAAGTTTGACATACTAACTGTTATCTGAATAATAAAATTAGATTAATCGTGCCTTTTTCTATTTTTAAATATATCATTGGGCAGAAAAATGCATGCCTGTGAAACAATCACCAATTTGATAAGAGATAAAAATACATTCTACGATAGAAACAGGTGAGCTGGAAGAAAGGTAAATTCTAGATGAACTGGATCGGATCAAACTTTTATTTGCTTCTTGTGATTGTGCCATCATTGTCGCACAAAATTTATGCTAAATAGATTATAAACAATTATAACAAATTTGCGGCCAGATTTTTGAGCACAAATTTCTAAGTTTTTAACTGAATGGTTGTAAGAAGATGATTTGTTAACTAATTTTTATTTAATTAAATAAAATCTTCAAACTAAGTGAAAATGCTAACCGTAGTATAAGAGTTTGGTTGAACATTTAAAATTTCTCGTCGCATTTGTGTTTTGTTTTTCAGCTTTTCCATGCCATCGTCGTACTCAATGACAACTTTTGCTGTTTCATTCATCGACGCATTAATAATTTGAAAAGTGAAATTGCTGTTATTTGATATTCTTTTGCTCCAAGGAAATAATGTCACAAATTTAGTGCCAAAAGTATTCGGTTCATTTCTAATATTTTCCAATATTGTCGTTGGTAGTATTACTAAAAATGCTTGCCTAATTTAAAAAAAAAAACTTATTAGATTAAAATATGCTTTTAATAAATGTTATAAATTTGTGCGATTTACTTAATAGAGTTAATTAATATTTACATTATTCATAAGGTTGACGTAACATTTGTATATTAGCTATTAACTCTTCTTTTTACTAAATAACCCATTTCTTAAGCAAAAATTTATCTGAGTTTGAAATTTGGTGATAATTTAATATATTTTGTCATATTGAATGACAGTTATTAGTATCAGGCAACACTGCATGTCTCACTTATCAGTTATCAGAATGATTTTGAGAAAGTTCCACCCTTATCGATAAATCATGCTGACTGATCACTAAAAATATTTTCAAACCAAATTTGTTTTAAATCGAGAATAATTGCATTTCACATTCTTCTGTCACATTCTGTGCTCCCAGAATGCTCGCGGAATATTTTAACAAACTCCCCTGAATTCAATTTTTCCTTCATTCCCTCAGTAGTTTATAATTTCAGTTCATCGAATCTTCAATACTTTCTTATTGCATTTCTTTAATTTAAGGAAGATTACTCACATACCTGAGAAATAAGTGATTATTTCAAATTTTCCAGGCATATTACAAATTAATTTAAATCCAAACAAAACGTACACTGAAAATTTGTTTAAATCTCCCATATTTTTCTTAAAGGCCGTTATTTTTTCCATAAATTTTTATCAAAATGTTGTGCTTGTAAGAAAAAAGAAATAGGCTTAATTCATGTTTTATGTGAAAATTTATTATATTTTTATATTTTGACTTCTCAAATTCCTTTTTAAAAGCAACATTTAATTATTGGTGAAAGGTTGCAACAATGAAAGTTATAACACTTTTTATCTTTTCAACTTTTTTTTTTTTTTTGTTATTACAAATTAATTTAAAGGATAATTAAGTGAAACAAACGAATAAATTTCACTCGAATGTATCCAATTCAAAGCCTTGCTAAGGAAAAAATAAAACAACTAGTTAACAAAGTGTAAAAGTAATAATAAAGTTTGAAATGATAATAATCAAATTTTTATAATGCATTCAAAAAAAAAAAACATTTTCAAATTTAATTTAATCAATCACTGAGAGCAAAAAAAGGCATAGAAAAATGTATATTTTAAAAAAGAAATAAATAAATAAACTTAAAACAATATTCATCTCAACAATACTATATAAGTTATCATAATTATACTACAATGACTGAAAATAGTCTGAAAGAAAAAAACTGAAAATAATCTTTGCTAAAATATTTTTAGATTTCAAAAAAATTTTTAGGGAGCTACAAATGAAAAAGGATAGTGATATGAGAAATAAAATTTTGCATTAAAAATAAATAAATAAATATGAAATACAAATAACTAAAGAACTAATTAATAGTAAATTATATACCATCAAAAAATAAAGGCGTCCATACGAAAATATAATTAAGAGAAATGAAATATGCAACTAATTTGAAGCTTAAATTTAAATATGAAAAGTTCATTTGATAAAAAAACAAAAGCAATGAATTAAATGATTGAAAACATTAAAAAATATCTTTACATTATTTTTTAATATTATAAAGATATTTAAAAGACAAACATTCTCAGTAAAATATAAAATGTAAAAGTTTGCAAAAATATAAAAATAAACTTAGCAGAATGAAGTGATTTTTTTCTTGAAACATTATCAGTTTGAAATATGCTTATCTCACAACAAACAATAATTTAATTTCAACTTAAATCAATGATGAATTTTATTCCTCATACATTTTTATTCGAAACATCAATTTGAAGATTATCTTTTTTCGCAAAAAATATGAAATTATTCTTCCTGAAATGTGCATTTTAGCATACTGAATATCATAAAGTAATAGAAATGTAAAAAATTTTTATGGTAATTTCCTAGCTTAAAATTAACTAAATACAAGCTTTTTTAAATTATCATTTATATCATTCCTTGTTTTCTTTATTTATAATTTAAAACAAGTATTCAAATTTGTTTATAATGATTAATATCTTTTTAAATTGATTGAATAAATTAATATCCTTTGTATGACTGAAAAAGATTTTTTTCATACAAAGTAATTATCAATTTTTATTTGCAGGTTTAATAAATTTGTAATTTATTATATTAACTGAACGCAAGAAAATTATACAATTTTTGAGAAAAAAAGTGCAATTTTGATAGCAATAAAATGCTATTTAATTAAAACAATTTTATCTGTCAACTCTTCGAAAAGAGTTCGTTGATTGAAAAATAAAAAGAAGATTTCATGGTTGATGAATATCACGGTGAGAGAAATGTTCGAGAGTCTCTTTAAGCATTAGCATATTCATAATAGGATGTTTTAAATTTAAACATACATTTATAAGCTTGAGGAAAAATAATAATAAATTTCATAATTTCTAAAATGTTAGATTTTACTGAGATTAATGACCTTTATCCCAGTAAATCTATAAAATCCATGTGCAACTGAATCGTTCGAGATAACAAATAATTGAAAGATTTAAATAAACGAGTGGGATTTTAAATTTTCATTTGGACCCGGGGAGATGATGTAAAGTTGGGAAAGGTTGGAGGGGGCGATGGTTTGTTTGGTCTATTCTTTTCCTGGGAAACACCGGGACTTCTGGGAGTAGCTTAGTGTGGGGCGTCAGTAGAATTTCTACTTTATTTTCCTCCCTCTGTAATTTTTTTAATTTTTGAATTTTTGTAATTTTAAAATTCATTCTGGCAAAAGCTTGATATTATTATTATTTAACTATGGAATGGTTTTGTATGATTATTCTCGAATATTTAAGCAAATAAATTTTCACTAAAATAATGCTAGCATTGTGATTGTAATTTTTTCAAAAAGGAAAAAAGAACAAATTTAATAGTGGAACAGTCAGATTTTATACAGTTATGTACGAATTTCAAGTTAAATTAAATTGAAATAAACGGAATAAGCGAAATGTCGTGATGTATAAGTAGCAGATAACTATATATTTTTTTTAATATTTTTTAATATATTTTTTAAGCATTTACAAATACTAATAAAATTTGCTGTATAGTTATTCCTTCTTTTCAGGATGGAATTATTTGAAAGTTTGGAAGAGGAGGCATTACTTGCAATGGTGGATAAATATTGCTCGGAATCAGTCGATAATCCTTTCGAATCAGATATTAGGAAGTTTGATGCTACGGTTATCAACGAAAAAGTAAATTCAAAATTTGCTTTTCATTTCAGATTAATCGTTTCACATAAAATTCGTTCAGGGGTACTATGATATGCTGTCCCATGATCTGTGTTTTTTGGTTTAATAGAAACAGGTGCTAGTCAACATGTTCGGTTTTTTTAATTTTTTTTTTCAAACTCGTTTTTTTTTTTTTTTTTTAAAAAATATTTTTAAAATAAGCGCTATAAAATGGGATCAGATTTAAAATTTTCAGTTTAAAACGGGCATCAATCTTCGGAAGCTTTTTATTACAAAGTCTCGAAGTAGTTTATATTTCAAAATTACTTTCTTCAGGCTATTATTGACAAACTGATTGATATTTATCCTAATTCTGTTGCACCACAATCCGTTGCAATACTTGATGCACTGGTCTATAAAATGAGTGGTCCATACAGGTTATCAATTTTTTAATCTTTATATAAATAAGCAACACATTAGAAATGCGATTTAATTTATATTCACTTTTTTTTTTTTTGAATTAGAAGCTCTATTCAGAAATGTAAAAATTATCAAATCTTTCATATATGACACCATAAAGCTGGTAATCATTTTTAGGCATGCCAAATTTTGGAGGTTCACTCGTCGTGTCTTAAAGGAATTAAATAAGCTGAATTCATTGAAACTCAACAAATATTTGAAAAATATCTCAAAGGTACTTCGTTGCATTTTTTTAATGTTTATTTTTTACACGGTTAATTTTCTGTTATCATTGTTGACTATGATATTAGAAGATCTTTATGTTTTCGTTTTCTCACTGAATGTTGGAGAATTCAACGGAGACACCATTACTGAGAGAATAGGAATTTCTTATTTTCAATGATTCTGTTCTTGAACATAACCTGTATCGATCATGATATTAAATAATTGACATTGCATTCTTACAATGGAGTCTTTTTTTTTTTTTGATTTCTTTTTTCTTGGTAAGCTTTACAGTCTTTACGTAGTACATTCATTTAGCTATTTTTATAAGTTATTTGGGGAATCTCAAAAGATACATAAATTCAAATTCTTACTTATAGGATATGCTGAAATCAGAGATGCATTACAGTTTGAATGTTTGTGCAAAGCGGTACATAGCAGCAGTGTTAATTTCGAGAGCAGTCCGTAGTTGCAGGCTTCGAAATCTCTGTGAACAGGCTGCCTCACACTGTCTTCAGCATATACAGACCGGCCATCTGGTATATATACATTTTTTTTTTTTTTTTTTTTTTTTTTGGTGGGATAGATGCAAAACACTATTCTGTACTAAATATACAAAATGTTAAATATAGAGCAACAAAACGATGTTAGATATATGGTAACAAAACTGCTTTTTTTTTCCGAAGTGGAACTTATAACTATTTATTTTTTGCCATTGATACTTAGTGTATAAATTTTCTAATATAAAAATATAATAGCGCAGCTATTTTTTTTTTCTTCGAAATGAAACTTAAAGAATGTTTGCTTTCTGTAATGTTCCTGGTGACTTTTTAGTTACAATCAAATTTACTGTTGTTGGCACTGAATGCAGATGTGTATGATGCTCTCAAGAAGAATATGGCCAAAATAGTAGAATGTTATGATTGCTTGCAACCGTTTCTTACCGATTTGAAGTATGAGTTGTCTAGTGAGAAGAAAGTTTTCATGGTTTCCGTGCGTAGCTTTCAGAAATAAATCTGCTAGTAAAAAAATGTCGCAAAAAATATATCTAGCACTAAATGATTAAACAGGTTGAAAATATCGTTTTAATCCTCATCGTTAGATATTTCCTTTTTCAGTCTGCTACATATCAGAAGATTATTGGTGGCAGCAAATAATACATTTCAAAGTAGCAGATATTTGATTTCAACACTAAACTCATTTCGCTCGATTGCTGGGATATGTGGTATTGAAGAAAATGAATATACTGATTTATTAGCTTCCACCAGTACATCAAAGACAAACAAGTGGTACTTTTAGTTCTCAAATTATAATTACATGTAGATATTGCATTCATTTATTCTTTTACAAAAATTATTTGCTTTGAAAGTCACATCATAATTGCTTTTTTTAAAGTGTTTTTTTTAGTTAGTAGCATGACTCTTACACAAACCGGTGGTTCGATGATTCAGCTGAATTTATGATTGATTGAAGTGTCTTTCATTCACCCTATCTCACTTCAGTGGTAAAATATCTCCGTTATTTATCAGTACGATTCAGTGTAACGAAGTATGTACAAAACTGAAAAAAGATTAATAAAATTCCTTTTAAAATTTGTTGTTGGATGTTTAATGTTGTTAATGTTATGTTCATAAGTTAGTTGTGTAAATTTGTTAATAAAATTTTTGAGGCTTTGTTTTTTTATATATTCATACATTCGTTAAACTTTCGTTGTAAATTAGTTCTTGCATACATTTACTACAAGATATTAGATACTTTACGTATACTGAATTTAAGTGGCGAATGTGATATAGACTTTTCGGATTTCGTCTTAATTGAAATACGGAGTTTTCATCTCAGTAACGGCTGAAGGGAAACTGGTTTTAACATAAACAAGGAACTAGTGGTCCACGTTAGAATAATTGAATATTGTTGATGTGAGGGATAATTAATAATCGTTTTAATGAGTGTTGCTTCAAAGGATGCCAACATATCATGAAGAAGACTATAACCACTATTTCAGCAATCACCTCAGTAGTCATATTTCCACCTCTGTAAGTTTTTTGGCCATTAATTTGAACACAGTTTCTATTTTTTCCGGGTGTTACTTTGTGTTCTAATGAACATCTACTTTTGTTTCTGTTGTAACTTTATAATTTAACGTCGGAAGTTAGTATGCATTGCCTACAACAGCATAATAATCAAAGTGTAATGTAATCTACATGTTATGGGGATCGATCAATGGTAGACAAATGCATATTTAGGCATTATGTAGATCTAGCTTTATGAAATATAGGATCATTAGAACAAACATAATAATCATAGTGTTCTCTGATAAATTGGAAATTAATCAGATGATGACTAAAATATTTTTCATTTTTATAGAGTTACAAACAATTGATCACTGAAAGTGTAATATTATCTGCAATTATCTACGGTGTAATCGTCTTGAAATTCCGAAAGCAGAAACATACATGGTTAACTGAACAAGTAACTTTTTTAATGTTTAATAAAGTATTACATATTAAATGTTCATTGCTATACATTTCTTAATATTGTTCAATATATTGCTGAAATATTATAGCAGAAAGAGAGAATAATCGCAGAATGGAAACCAGAGCCATTGGTGCCAGAAATTCCAGCAGAACATTCAGCCCTAGAAACACATTACTTTGATGGGTTGAATATTTTTTTGTTTGATATGTATAAACTATAAGTGAAATACGCATTTATGATTGTATCTGTATTGTCATTAAATTTCACGAATATTTTATTCTACGTTGGTCATAGCTGAATTGAATCTATTATATGGAATATTATAGTAGTTCATTTGTAGGAAAGTGAGCAAATTCGTTATCTATGATGGTAAGGAATATTTGAATTTAGCGACAACAAATTTTTTGGGATTGATTGGTGACAAAACAGTTGAGGTAATTGATAGTTTCAATTTTGCAGTTATTGTTGTATTTGGAAATGCCTGATGAACTTTTATTTAAATACATCACTATTTTGTAGGAAGTTGCAAAAGAAGCAATTGCAAAATATGGCGTTGGTTCATGCGGACCACGTCATTTTTATGGCACGGTGGATGTGCATCTTGCATTAGAGAAGCAACTTGCCGATTTTTTAGGATGTGAGGAAGCGGTGCTTTATAGTTATGGTTTTGTAACTATTTCCAGTGCTATACCATCATATGCAAAAAAAGGAGATGTTATTTTTGTAGACAAAGGTAATCTCTTTTATCGCTACATTCTCTAAAATAATAGCACTTACTCACATTGCTTTACCACATGGAATCCCACTGCTAAAAATTGCTTTAAAAAAATGTTAGAAAAATACATTAATAAAAGTTTGGAAGCAAAATGCAAAAACACTGTTAGCTATTGGCCAAAATAAATGTTAGAGATTACAAGCATATCCTTAGTTGCTACAGTCTTGCCACTTTTGGAAAATATGTAATGTTACTAGTATTCTTAATAAAATGGCGATTACAAAATTCTTTTTTGTTTGCGCTGAAATTGAATAAATTAAATTATAATGAGTGAATTGATTTTGTTAGGTTTCATGACATTTAGGAGTGAATTTTGCTATACAAGAAGGACTCAAAGCATCTAAAAGTCGTATCGAATGGTTCAATCACAATGATGTCAACGATTTAGAGAGATTATTAATGGAACAGGCTGAAAGAGACCGTAAAGTTCGTAATTCACATTGATATACTGTGCTATTTTTTAACATTTCTATAGCATCTTTTTACAATTCTACTGTTTACTAACTTTACTTTTAGAAGGCTTCCATCTTCTGTTTTTTCTTGCAGTTTCCAAAATTAGCATCAAAAACAAGACGATTTATGGTGGTCGAAGGACTTTACATGAATAGCGGTGATTTGTGCCCATTGCCAGAACTTATGGCTTTGAAATGGAAATATAAAGTACGTATCTTTATTGATGAATCATTATCCATTGGTGTTATTGGCAAAACAGGAAGAGGTTAGTTTTTTTTTTTTCTGTTTCTTAAATAATTAATTGATAATTTCAGTAGAAACAATATTCTTCATTCTATTTTTTTTTTTATTTGTTTTCTAAATGGGAGTGCTAGAAATGGAATGAAATTCGCAAAATTTGTGGAAAAAAACAATTAGATTCCTTTAGTTATAATGTATTATTTATGTTAACTTTCATAAATTGTGCAATCGATTCAAACTAAATTATTAATGAAGTTGGAAACTGTTCATTAACAACATGAGTATGCTATTAGCTTAGCATAGCTTATGATACAAAACTAAAATGCAAGTATAAGATCACCATAATTGTTTTTAAATACAAAGATATGAAAAAATATGTGTAATATATCTTAGCGGGTGAAACGAATGTCGCATTTGAATGACTCCTTTCTAAGATTGTGTCTTCGGACTGCATTTATCATATTCACTTGTGTTTGTAAGGAATGAGTGTTTAAATTGAAAAAATAAAAAAAAATAAAAAAATAAAAACGGAAAAAAGACATTCTTTACAAATGATATGATAGTGTGTTTTGAATCGATGATACAAATTTAGATATTAACAGGTTTTATTCAGTTAGGCTTATATCTTGCAAAACTTTATCGAAATTCGAAATGAGCTGGGATTCTGTCAAGTTTCTCTTTTTTGGATTTCCAGAACGTTTTAATAGTAAATTTAAAACATTGGATAATGACTTTTCTTACGGATTTCATAGTAATATCAGTTGAGAGTTAGATGTAACCTATCAGTTGAATCAGATATAAGTCAGATGTAACTTAACCAGATTACGTCATCTTTGGCTAGTAGAAGAAGTAGCAAAGTTAATAATAAAACTGAACTGAGAGAAATAGTAATTGTACTTGAAGCAGTTTTATCTTTCATTTCATCTTTAAATGTTAATAATTTTCCATAGGTGACTAATAAATCAAGTGCTACTCCATTCGTCCAACCAAAGCCATCCTTAAAAATTAGTTTGTATGAATTTTATTTACACTTGATAAATTTATCGATCGTGTAAGTTAAATTATCAAATTTAGTAGGGATTTTTCAAATATGTCAAAAAAAGTGCACTATTAAAAATTTCTAAAATATCAAATTAAAATTTCCTATTTTTTTTTATTTGATAAATTCAAATGTCAGAAAATTTATCTCTACTTCTAAGCAAATAAATTTTTTAACCTGTATTTCATATTCACCGCCTTCAGCTTTATGCGCGTACGGTTTAGTAACATCATATTTCTCCCACATTTTACCATCTTTTAAGTAAGCTTGATAGTTTAAGTTGATCCATTTTTGTGCAATATCAAACGCTTTTTGTTGCATCCTATGAAATTCATTTTGTTCATTCGTAAATATTATTATTTAAGTGAATATTTTAAAGTAAACATTCTTACTGTGACTTGAGCATTTCAAATATGGTATATAATAAGATTTAGTTTTCATAGAAATATGACAGAACAAATGTATCAGCAAGTGGTTTCAAATAACCAACGAAGATGGAGCCATGCCAACAATATTAAATAGTTGAATGGATTGTTTAGGATTATATAATAAGCAGTATAATATAAAGATGCAACATATCATAAGTAACATAATATATACTTATACTGTTAAGATGAGAAATGACAAAATAATTCTAATAATTTATTTCATTTTTATCACTGATATCATATATGTGTTAATATTAACATTGATAACATGAAAATATGAAAATTTCAGATTTCTATTCAATAGTAGTAATATTAATTATATGAAATTGAAAATTACAATTCTAGAATAATATTTTAATAATATATCTATAAATACCTGTAATAATTAGATCTTCGTAATCCTTCAATAATCATATGATTTACATTTGCCCATCCATTTGGAAAATCCCATTGTTGATTTGTACCGTTGATTAAACTAAACATTTCAAGTTATTTAATTTCATTCAAGTTGTTTTATAATTGAAATTAGTCTAATAATTTTGTAATATTTATCCCTATTTTTCCCATTAAAATATTCCAAATTATTTATGAATTTTTTTTCTCTTTTTCAAAAAGAGGTTATTATAGAATATAGATTTAATAATAATAGAATAATATATTTATTTAAATATTTAAATATATAAAAATTATTGTATCTGGTTATTATAGAATATAGATTTAATAATAGAATAATAATTAAATATTTTAAAAATGAAGTTATAATTTATTCATGCATACCTAACAGGAATTCCAAAGGGAAAATTTAAAAGTCCACTACGTTGTAATGTATTAAGTACATCAGTCATCATTCGTGTATCTAATCGTCGATAGCATTCAGCAAATAATGGTATTGCAATGGAAGGATATGCTTCATAATTTCGTTTACCAGTTCGTATATTTACATCATACCATGCTTTTTCTGTTTTATCATAAAATACATCAGTAAATGTATCGATGAACATACTCCGTTCTTTGTTTAGCTCATTTCGACGTGTTAAATTCCCTTAAAATTAATCTTCAATAAATGATTTTTTTGAGTTTTTACATTTTTTTATATTTGTTAACTTTTGTTTTACTCATGATTTCTAAAATTTGCAATCTTTTTGGTTTTTTTTTTTTTTTTTTTTTTCTGTTTCCTTTTTGAGGAATCAAATATTTAAGATCTAATTATTGATTTATGAAATATTTTTGTGAAATATTATATTTGTCGCTAAACATTTAAATTTCTAATTTTATATTTAAAAAACAAATTTCACTTAATACTTAAATTTTATCAAATATAAAACGAACCAAGATGACCATGTATATGTGATAATATAGCCATATTCCAGCACATAAATGCATTTAAGTCAACTGGTGCTATGTTTGATGTCTCACAAGTTTCCATTGTTTTTTGATCAGCAAACCACCGACTACTGAAATCCCATCCTGATTCAGCTGCACTTGCTATATCACGCCAAAGAGCACGTTTTTTTGACGGTAGTACATGCTCAGTTGTTACGTAATCTTCACGATATGATTCTGGTCTAGAAGAAAACTCAAAATTTACACTTAACTTATGCTTTTTTTTCCTTTTTTTTTGTTTAATGATTCATATGGAATAATAAAATTTTTTTTCTTTTTTTCTTTTTTTTTTCGCATTTGAGAAATTAGATAATTAATTATAATCATTTGTAACGTAAATCATAAAGAGATATAATAGTTATGGACAGTGGATTTTTTATGTTCATTGGATATTTTTATAATTGAAGTTTTCCGAGATTTTCAAATTTTTATTTAAAAAAACGAGCAGTAAATTTTTAGGTAATTTTAGCCACAAAATGAACTATAAGTTATATTAGATAGTAACAAAATTATGAATCATTATGTATAGAAATATGTAAGTAATAGTAATGTTACTGTAGGTAAAAATATGTCTGCTACCAGACAGCAATCTGATAACATAAATAGATAACTAAATGATAATTGAGAGAAAGGAAAATATCAAAATTATTCATAAATTTTTTTAAAATATATATTTATCTATTTATTAAACAGTAAAATTATTCTAAATGATGAGAAAATGATAAAGATGCAAGAAAAATCTATTCATATTTTACCTTGGTACATTACTATCAGCTCGATAACGGAATACTGTATAGTTTCGACCATTCTTTTCTATTATTACTGTACGTCTTGTCTTCCAAAAGAATAACTCCTGAAATTGCTGATAAAGATTTTATACATTATTCTAATTTATTTAAATTTTTGTTTGTAAAATAATTTATTATTTTATTCATTGTATTGGTGATTTGAATGGTTGTTTTTGGATTAATTTTGAAAGTTAGTTTTGAAATGAAACAATGAACAGATCTTTCTTATGGCTATGATCGTCCCAAATAGTAGATCTACGATAGATTTAAGGATTAAGCATAATTTAAAGTATTTCTAATTGTGAATAATTATCAGTTAAATTTACTTTTTCCATAGTTTCAATTACTGAAGCCAAGAAATCATCATTTTTTGTGGCTGCATAATATTCGTAAACCATTGGTATGAATAGTGGTGGTTGTGATCGTCGTAAATAGTAGATTCGTCCACCATTTGGTATAAAACCAAAAGTATTTATTAGATAGGCAAAATTTTCAATCATTCGACGAGTTGTATTTTGCATACCTAAAAATGAATTAGATATCAAGCGAACTTTATGTATTTAATTCTAGGTAATAAATTTTAGTCTAAATTATAAAATTTATGATTTTAAACTTCATCATTGACACAGTAGACATTTAGATGAGAAGTAGTATATAAGATATTAAGTTAAGCATTATTTCTAATTTCATCTTGTTGAATTTATATTCTACAAAAATATAAATTCTCTTTTGTAGTTTTTCTAAAAGAAAAAATTGAAATATTGAATGGAGAAGTTTACTGTTAGAAATTAAAATCTTTTAGAAGCAACATTGTAACACTTCTCACCAATAGTTTATCAGTTTATTGATAATCAAGATTATCAGCTAACCTGATGCCAAAAGTCCTTTTATAATCCAATAACCATCCCAGTAGTAATATTCACGGAAACGTCCACCTGGCACAATGAATTCATTCGGTACATAAATTAGCGAATGTCTCTGTGGTTGTTCTTTAACCTAACAATGAAAATTTTGATGAATTTGTTTAAGTGTAAATTGATTGTAATCTTAAATTAAATGTTATATCATAATAATGAAAACCTTTGACAAAAAAGTATAACTTAGGTTGAAAAAAAATTCAAAGTTTAAAAATTTTTCTTTCAGCCATATTAATTATTAAACCAAATAATCTTAGGGTTGAAATATTTACAACTTTTGTAATTATTCCATCTATCGATATTATTATTCTCCGAAAGAAGTTTTTATATGATTTACAAAATAACATCCTTTAAAATTTTCTATTATTAATTATCTATCAAATATTAGCAATTGTTGGATTTGTAAAAGTTTCAAAGTAATTCTTGAAATTTATGTAAAAGATGAGAATTATTAAAAGAAGATGTTGATCATTTT